TCTTGAGTCAGGCTGGCCGTTTGGAGTTAACAAATATAGTCTTTACTACTATGTCAACCTTCACCATGTGCACCTTCTGGTTACCTAAAACAATTATTAAGCAAATTGACAATTTTCAAAAGCATTGCCTCTAGTGTGGCTCTGACATCAATAATAAAAAGCCATCGAAGGCAGCGTGGCAAATGGCGTGTTTTCCCAATAAGAATGAAGGTGGATTTGGAGTTCTTAATCTTTAGGTCCAAAATGATAGTCTCTTCTGCTGAAAAGTCTCCATAAATTTTACAACAAGCTTGACATACCCTGGGTACACTTACTTTGGGAGAAGCTGTATTCCAATGGCAGATTGCCTACACTAGCGAGAAGAGTCTCCTTCTGGTGGAGAGACATCTTAAAGTTATTGTTGACCTTCAAGAGTATTGCCTCTTTTAACTTGTATAGTGGAGCCACCTGTTTTTTGGCATGATCTATGGCAGGGTCAAATTCTTCAGCATGCCTTTCTAGAGCTTTTATATTTTGTTAAGGACCCCAATATATCAGTCCAAAGTGCTTGGCTAACCCCTCACCTTCACACTCTCTTTCACCTGCCCTCTCGGTTGAGGCTTTTGCTCAGTTTCAAGAATTCAGCTTCGTTGTTCTGGATCTTCGATTAGGAGACACCCGATTTAGATGTTTGGACCTACATTTGGGGCTCTCCCATCTTTTCCTCTAGCAAGTCTTACAAACAACTTATTGGGCACAGATAGGTACATCTAGTCTTTCGGTGGCTTTGGAAAACAACTTGTCAGAATAAGAGAGGAAAGTTTTTTTTTTCTAGCTGCTCCTTAAGGGTAGACTGAACACAAGGGATTGATGACTATATATAACTGCAGTTTTGGAATTGAAGAAAGCCTTCTTCATCTCTTTTTGGCCGGTCTGTTTGCGACCAGGGGATTGGGACGCATGGCATCTTCAGATTGGTGGCCTGATTGACCACTTTAATATATTGGTCAGCTTCAAGAATCAACTAGCAGTTCCCTTCTTCATGGAAGTTCTGATTTGCATGATTTGAGCCATCTGGACAGTCCGCAATTATTTGATCTTTAAGCAACAACCAGTGTCATTACAAAGGTGCAAAACAGTTTTCAGATAGGAATTTGCAAGAGTTATACTCCGTGCAAATGAACAGAACCGCCCTAACTTTGTTTATGGCTAGAAGCTTTTGTGTAATTCTTATGATTTTCTTTGTTTCATTTTTTGTTTCGTGAACTTTGTACTTGCAATTTGTCTATTTGTTTTAAATAAATCCAGAACAAAGGCAGCAGGCCTATTGTCGAGGCTGCCCGTGCCTGAATCAGGATTCGGGAGAGAGAGAGATGCCATTCACGCGTGTTGGGATAGCTTGGCTGCTGCGCCGAGGCCGAGACGGCACGATCGAGCATGACAGTGCGGGAGAACGTGGCACCTCCAATGGCCCAGTGCAGGGATCCTCCTCCGTGGGGTAACATCAGCTTGAGGTCGCCTGCATATCCTCGGCCACGTCCTCCAGCATGTCCCATGCTAGGGTTAGGTTCTTGGTGATATATGCTGTCGTTGCCTCCATGCCACGAACAATGAGGCGGGCCGCCGCCACCATCGATTCGCTGCCGTGACCAAGGGTGCGGCCTGCCGCATCCGCTCCCAACGCCAAGCCGCTACAACGACCGAGGGAGCGGACCGCTGCTGCCGAGCCGCTTCCGTGATCGTTGGCTTGGGCCGTCGCCGCCGCCTAAGCCGTTGGTGGTGATGACATGCCCTTGTCCTTCCTATCTGAGGCCAAGTATCCTTGTTCTTCCTAGCCAATGCGGACATCTCGACATTGCCGGTGAAGAAGGAAGCCAGTGACTGGCGTGGAAGTTAGATCGTTGGTGTTTAGTCCCATATTATGTAGGTTGTTTGGGTTTAGTCCCACATCGTATAGCGATGGTGGGGAGCATAACATATAAGACGGGAGAATCCCCACCTATTAAGCTATTCTTTTGGGTTGAGTGAGGCTCAAAGGCCTTATATGTTGTCAGCTCCGGTGGACTTGGGACCTGTGGGAGTGCAGGCTCGTGGTAACGAGTCGGGCCGGCTGCAAGCCAACTCCAAGATCGAGAACTCGGTGGTCACCACCGGTTCCAACAATTGGTATCAAAGCCGCCCAGGGTAAAAAAAGCTAAACCCGATAAAAATTTTCGACCGTCGTGTAACGATGGTGGCGGAGCACGACATATAAGGCGGGAGAACCCCCACCTATTAGGCTAGTCTTTTGGGTTGAGTAAGACCCAAAAATCTTATATGTTAACATATAAGGCAAGAGAACCCCCACCTATTAAGCTAGTCTTTTGGGTTGATTAAGGTCCAAAGGCCTTATATGTTGTCAGCTTCAGTGGACCTAGGACCTGTGGGAGCACAGTCTCGTGGTAACGAGCCAGGCCCGCTGCAAGCCAGCTCTAAGATCGAACTCGGTGGTTACCGCCGGTTCTAACAATTGGTATCGTGAGCCCATGGTTAGGTTGAGTAAGGCCCAAAGGTCTTATATGTTGTCAGCTCCAGTGGACCTATGACCTGTGGGAGCGCAGTCTCGTGGTAATGAGCCGGACCGGCTGCAAGCCAGCTCCAAGACCAAACTCGGTGGTCACCGCCGGTTCCGACAGGGGAGAAGCTGCTGCTGCCGAGCCACAAATGGATTTTTGCGCTTAACATCATCGCCTGTGCGCGCCCAAACTAGAATTCTTGACACGGGATCTGCGCGCGCAAGACGAGCCATATGACCCTGCTCCTCATGGCACTTGGTCCTCGGAGCATGGGCCCTCGCCTTGGCCTCGCGAGGCGACGGGGCGACCGTCTCCAAGACAAGCCGATGTGCTTTTTTTTTTGCAAAAAAGAAAACAAAGACGAAGATAGACCGAGATGACTCGTTGTATATGCCCTCAATGTTAATTTTGTCTAAGTTTGTAGAAAGTATATTAACATGTACAATATCAAGACATATTTTGTGGCACATTTAATTTAACTAATTAATTTTATGTTATATAGGTGTAGCTGCTTCTTCCTAAAACTAATTAAAGTTCAACAGCGTTGACTTTAGACAAAACTAAAACTGACTACATGTTGAAACCTGGAAGTGCCAAACAAGCAAACACAGATCTCAAAGCCGGCCGCATCGAACGCACCTCAGGTTTCGGAAGTACAGCGACATATATCAAGGGTTTTGAACATATTTAAACATCCAATTTAAACCCATGTAGTCTTGGTACGGTACTAGTACCAGAAACAACTCAAACTCTCATCAGCTTGTTCTTTATATAAAAAAAACTCATTAACTTGTTAGAAGCAGCCTCGCGTCAGCACACGCGAAACTTAAGTCTATCATGCAAGAGGAGATTATTATGGACATACTGCAGGTACTGAATGGATCGTCAGAGTTCATTCAAACGCCGCATACATGCAGAATGTGCATGCTTACTTCTGGGACCGTGACCGGAAGAACTCGTAATCTGGATGATAGTTCATGGTTTCTCCAGATGCCCTGGGCACCACTGCCTTCGACACGATGGACGCGCAGTGCCTCAGTGCCCTCATTTTTCTTATTCAGGAGTTCAGCATGGTGGGTTTTCCAGGAACCGTTTGGTGTTGGCTTGGACCTTGATTGTTCTCCCAGTTGATACCACTTCTCTACCTGTAAATAAGGATTTTGATAATATAACCCGACTATAAGTCTAGAATCAAAATAACATCTACAAAAATTAATATTTGTAAGGAACACATAGTTGTTTTCAGAGAAAAAAAAAACTCCTACTCCCTTTCTAGATATAAGTTTTATCTAGATACACTAGATAAAATTTTGCTAGATACACAGTATCTATAAAAGCCATAACAACTTATAATATGGAATGGAGGGAGTAGTACTAAAAAGTGCCAGTTGAACTACTACCTGGTCTCTGTAACCAAGCACTCCGACAACCGGACAAATTATACGATGCAGCCCATCAGCCATATATGTAGGGCAAGTTTGTGGAACCAATTTGCCTAGGGAGTGGTATGTAAGGAATGCAGCTTATGGCTCCTTGAAGCTGAAGGTATCTGACAAATAGGATACCAGGAAACACAGTACCTAAAAATTAATAGAGCATCTGATTAGAACTTGGACAGAAAATGATCTTGTTAAAATTGGAAAACTCTAGCCAATATCAGGTCGACGTACCAGGAAGCTGGATGAAGATCACATAGCTTAACACTTTTGAGTTGCTTAGGGTCACCAAATATTGGAGTACCAGACAGGTTCACACCATTCAGAAGCTGTTTGATCCTATATTGCATGACAGCAAGTTCAAGTAGGATGGAAAAGACTCAGAAACAGTGCCCTGGAACCAGCCTCTATGTATAGAATAAATTATAAAAAAGTACTAGAAAAATCAAAGTAAATAATAATAAGCAGGCATAACATACTTGGTAAAAAGTGGAGGCCGTAAAAAGGCATTTCTGATTCGAAGTACTCAAACAAGAGTCCACCATGATTTTGTGAAAGTAAGCAAGGTTCCTCTGGTGTTCTAAACTTATTGCCTGACTGTCCAAACAACTGAACCGCAGATAGTGAAGGTACAAAATATGTTGATGAGTTTGCCCAACTAGAGTTGATGCTTCCCTGCATCTCTACCTCGATCCCACAGCACTCGGGTTCTTCGTACCATCTCCACACGCTCCACAAACACTGGTCTTGCAACCTGATGCTATTTGTTGTGCAAGATATCTGTGCAATGACTGGGGTGGACGAATGTAAAAGGTTTCAATATCAGCATGGATGCCATAGATCATGTACGCATCAGATGCAGCTTGAATTTTATATGCATCATTAACGGCCTTAATAATCTTATCCAACTCAGATGATGCATGAGTACAAAATGCTTGTTCATTCTCTTGTTTCTTCTGTTCTTCCCTTTTAACACATGAAGAATTAGACAGATGACCCAGCGACGACAAAGTTTTATCAGAAGATGGTGCTATGGAATCTGTGTCTTTGGTGTCACTGTCACCACCGACTGGAGCCATAGCTTTCTTCTGTTGTTCCCTATCAACACATGATGAAGAATTAGCCAGATGATTATCAGAAGACGACGGTGCTGTATAATCTGTGTCTTTGGTGTCACCACCAACTGGAGCCATATCTTTTTCTCTTCTTCCCTATCAACACATGAAGAATTAGCCAGATGACCCAGCTGTGACGAGGTATTATCAGAAGATGTTGCTGTAGAATCTGTGCCTTCGGTGTCACCACCGACTGCAACTGGAGCCATACTTTTTTCCTGTTCTTCCCTATCAACACATGAAGAATTAGCCAGATTACCTAGTGACGAAGTTTTATCAGAAGATGGTGCTGTAGAATCTGTGCGTTCGGTGTCACCGCCAACAGGAGCTTTCAGCTCTCCTTCCATGGGAAGACATCCTGGAGAACTAGTTTCCTCGATATCCTCTAGGCGGGTGACATGATGACGAGAAGTTGAACTCAGTGCCCCCTGCCTGCCAGCAACTGTTATAAGAAGCATTCTGCTGCTACCAGGAACATTCTCTCCATCAGTGTAACGAGCTTTTGACGCGTTGCTCAAACTAGGCCCCTTCTGGTTTTTTCCCTTTATTTTGTGGTTTGGTTTTCTGCCATTGATGCAATCATCTTGTATGTAATGTCCTACTGTAATAACCTCAGGGCGTGGAGCTGTTGGCACAAGTGCACGCGTTATAATAGGTCTTGAAGCAGTCATGGTCGGATTTTCCAAACGTTGCATCTTTTTGATTTTCTGTGCTTCTTTCCTGGAGATTACTTTCTGAAAATCATCACCATTACTAGCATAATCTCTGCAAGGCGAGCCTTCTTGGCTACCACTAGGACCGATTGCTAAACTGAGGCTTTGACGATGATCATTTGGTTTGCTTCCTTCACCACGCGTCTTATTAATAAAACCTCGTGAAGCTATGCATTCTGATGCAGACAATGACCGCTCACTTCTCGCATCCGACAAGCTACCAGCATAATCACCCAACATGGTGTTGTTCCATGCATTACCACCAGTATAATAGTCATTGACAGATGAACTAGCAGCAGTGGAATATGAAGTAATGCTGTCAAAACTCTTGAAGTCGTCATTGCTGCTAGAAGATAGATCCTTCTCATTAGTAGAATTAGATGTACTGTTGACAGCAGGAGAAATAAGTAGTTCTGTCACCAGAGAGCTGGAGGATGTGTTGAACTCCAACAGTGGTATGCCAACGGCAACATGGCTAGACGAGGACACCAGGGCTTCACCACCGGCCGCATCAGCGCATGAGGAAGAAGGTTTGGTGGGTGATGGCTCACTCTTTATTTCTGAAGCATGTGACTGCTTTCTACCCTTGCCCTTGCCTTTTTTCTTGCTGTTCTTCATATTTCTTGTAGCTTTTTGTTTATCTGAATTTCTCTTGATAAAAGCACCTTCCAAGAAATCTGTATCATCAGGTGGCTTTGCTGAATCTTTTGGAAGTCCTTCACCCTGCTGAGTGCCAGCTTCAAGTAACAACGGCGCTGACGGGCCAGGAAACTGAAAGACATCTTTCCATGGGACTGGGTTTTCTCCATCCTCCACACCGCCTGACAAAATGTTCCAATAAGGTACACCTGCTCTGTAACAAACTGATCCCAAAAAAGCAGACCTGGAGAGGTAGTAAAGAAAAGTCGTCAAGTAATGAACTGAAACAAGAGAGAAGAGCCAAATAATAGCAAGCATGACAGAATAAAAACAACTAAAGCGGTGAATATATGAATTTAAACAAATAGGAAGCACGCCTTTTTTAATATACAACTGATATTAGAGCATTATTGTACTGTTCAAACAAACCAATGTCTTATCTTGGTTTCAAAAGATTAAAGCTAGCTTGCACATTATCACTATCCAAATCTCAAAACTTTCAAAACCACTATTTTAATTTATTGGTGGTCGACTCCATGTTCAAATAAAAGTGGTAAAAAATAAAATATTTGATCAGTAACATAGATAAAATATCCGTACTTCTTATGTCAGAGTGACATTATGTACATGCTTTTCATCAAAATATCGTACATTTAAAATTTTTCTACGACAGATGTATGGCACCCGTTTGTGGCATAGTGCTACCTCATATGCTATCCCTGATGGTCAACTATCTCAAATCTATACCCCCTCTCCCATGACCACCCTAGCCTTTTGCGTCCTTCCTAGAATATTAGAAAATATATCAGTCATGGCTTTTGTTAACTTACAAGTCAAGCTTGGCTCACATGGCACTTTATCTCGCTCTAACCAATTTTTGTGCATTATGCTTAGATGGTGTGTGCAGCGGTGGCAACTGGTGTGTGTGTGGGCGGCACATATATAGGGCTTGCACTTGTAAGACCCATTGCCCTTCTATCTGAATTCTGTTCTATGATGTGGGTATTTTATGTTCATATGTAAAATTCAAAGGAAAAAATAAACTAGTATAGGTGCTCCTACTTGTGCAGAGATTGAATGTTTGTGGACCGAAAGGGCTAGCTGACATGGGGCTTTTAGCATATTATATTAAGCAATATAATTTGGAAGATATATCTATATCTTATGATCAGATGACCACTCAAAAAATGTGGTGTTGCAAAGAGGTATCCTGCAATTCCGCAAATTAGTGCTTCCTCCGGTTGTAAATTAAATATAATAGTCCGTCCAAATTTGTCCTAAGTAATTTTTAACTATATCGCTATAATTTTTAACTATATCGCTATAATATCTAAGATTTTATATGCCCCCCAGCATTGGCCAACAGTTCATCAGCTAGGGGTGATACAATGAGGGAATGGGGACACATTCAAGTCAGTGTGTCTCATGGAACTCCGAGGTTGTTATAAACATACTACATTACAAACGCCTAGTTTGGAGACCAATTGAAGAACATCCGAAATATTCACTTGTTACAAAATGCTAATGGAATACAATATAGCTTGGTGGGATGAACACATCAAATGTGTTGCAATCAATGTAGCAATATTCGAGAAATGTCCAAGGTTTTGATGAATAGAAATCTCATATGTCCCATCACGTGGCGCAAACATTTGTCAAGAATGTACACAACACAATTATTTACCATACTTTCCATTTATATTAGATGAGGTGTGTGTGGAAATAAAGAAACTAAAGGTTTTTGCATCAAAATAACATGTCCACAAAAGGTGTGGCAGCAAAGACGAGAGAGAGCTCATACAAGGAGAGAATCATTCCATCTCCAACTGTAATAGAAATTTTTTGTGTGGTCTTGCTACAGCCATAGTGCCTCTGGTAGTTTGAAGTAATGAACTTTGTATCGCTTTCCCATTAATTGAATCAAACTTTATTTCCTTTACTTTTTCTATTATTTAAAAATCATTTCATTTCTAAATTATTACTTATATATTGGGCTAAGGTTTGTATAAAATGTTGCCTTTATATCCCAAACAGTACCGATTTAGATAGATGTAGCTTGTTGCCTTTCTGTCCTAAAATCACTGTTAGTTTGTTTCATAGTGGCCAATGTCAATGTTTTGTGGAAGTGTTATTTTTTCTGTAATGCATGTACCCTGTGCCATGCTAAGTAGAAGTCGGTTTAAATATATTCAGGAACGGAGTACTGCATGAGTATTTTGATAAATATGCATCTTAGTGGTCAATGCTCTAAACTCGACTATAAAAGCATTCCAGAGAATAACATAAAACAGGTAGATCATTTTGTTTTGAAACTAGAACCCATAAAAGGGACATGCTTTTGACAGAAGAAATCAATTACTCGCTATTCACCATAATGACACAAATCTATTTACTGCATCTATGGTTGAATGAAATCACATCACACATCATTGAATTAATTAATAACATTAAACTGATTTGCCGTGTTGACAAACAATAGATTTTCTGTTAGATAAGAGATGTAATTATGTTTTCTTTTGTTTCTTGAACGTGGATAACTCTAAACAACAGAGTGTAAACATGGGTCAATTATGTACGACTAGGGTTTGAAACTCACTCCATCGAAACTTTTATTGGATATGCATCAGCACATTATTCTACATTTGGTGGGGCTGCAACTGTAATATATACCATGCGAGCACAATGCTGGTAGTTGAAAACATTTTTTATAGGTTATTCAACTTAATTCATCATGAAAAGGACTAGTAAATGTAGAAAAGAATATAACCGTACATCTGGTTCTGTCGTCGTTGTTCCTCCTCATGCTGTCTGGCTTCTAATTCTGCTATTTGACGTTTCTGCAACATCCCAATAAACAAAAACAAATAAACTATACAAGAAAATACCATGTCTATGGCTTACTGTAACATATATAAACCCTATATATCCCAGGTTTGCACATACAAACTCTAAATTGCCTGGGTTCATCTTCTCTATGGGATGCCTGGATATGCGGCAGCGAGGTCTCCTCGGTACATCCCCATCAACAACGTTTCCAGGGGTACTACTTCCTTCTCCTGGCGGCATATCTGCAGACCCTGTAGGGACAGTACTCAGAATCAAACCAGGACACACACACATGGAGGAGAGCTAGACTGCTTGTTAAAAAAAAACACGAAAAGGCCACGGGAGGAAATGCCAGCGGATCAGAAGAAACAACACTAGTTCTTAATCATCTACAAGATCTATTATCGACCCTCTGACTTGATGGCTAGTATACTAAGCCATCAGATTTACGCAAAATGCTGTGAAAGCGGACATCAATCGAATTCCTTAAGTTGCTAGCATGTATCTCGTATGTCATGCAACTTAACCTGCAATCTGAGACGACATGCTGGAAAATTACAAAGGCCATAGCAGTAGAAATCCGATCCCCACCGATCTAGGCACAACCATCACTAAATCAAACCATCCCTGCTTCCTTCCTCACGCACCCCACCCAAAAAAGAACTCATTCCAACAAAAAGTATCAAAATAGAGTGTAGAACCGTAGTTGCACATGCAGCTGCAGCTCCAAAACAAAATTCTGAGAATTTCTAGAGGAAAAGAGCCAACAATGCAGAACTCAGATTGTGACACTACTAGTTTGGCAAGATTAATGCTTGCACATACCGTGGGAAAAATCTGATGCTTTCTGTATCTTGGAAGAGGGAGAAGTAGGGGAGGGTGAGCGCGAGACTGGAGACTGAAGAGGGCCAGGGAGAACACACTAGCTAGGCAAGGGGAAATGGGACCACCATATGGTGACTTATCATGTATTAGTATTATACAGAGAGCCAGGGAAAAACGTGGGTGAGACCTCGAAACTAGCTAGTCAATTTGATTTTTCCTACTACTTTTAACTTTTTGTTGAGCACAGTAACGTATTGATAGATAGGAATATTGTCGATATGTATTACTTCTTTAATAGAGGGACAGCTGTACCAAACTAGTATATTGAATTAATGAAATGAATATTTTGGCTGTCCATCTATACAACAGTAATTAAATATGGTGGTATACATGGACCCCTCCTTTTTTTTGCATGCAATAATAAATGTGTGCGTGGCAAGCTAATGAAATATAAGTAGGTTCTACACAACTCATCATGTTATAAGAAACTCATAAATGTTTTCTACTTCTTTAAGATTCACTAGTTTTGCATATATTAAACAATGAAATAAATAGTTTTTGTGTGTATATTATATTCATGTATTAATTTAGTTGCCCAAGTATTCTAAACAACTCATATATCTTTGGGATGATATCTAATCTTCTCTCTCTCTCTCTGTACCCCTTATAATAAAAAAAAATAAAATTGTTAGCTATAAGAAGATATAGACATTTATTTGGACGTATCCTAAGGTAGACCAAGGCATCCCTAAGATCATGTACCCTCTTGGAAGCATATTTTCATATGCTAACTTCTGATAATAACTAGTCCTATGTCTCAATACATCAAGCCATCCTTAAGATAGACCATGCACCCTCTTTAAAGCATACTTTTATGCATGTCAACTCTAATATCCAGTCCTGTGCTGTAAAGTGATCGAGTACCTTTTTATTTGCATAGTGTTGTCAAAGAAATGAATTATACAACAAAACATGTTTCGGCTAATGCACCTATTTTTAATGAATACCTCCTCCGTCCCAAAATAAGTGCACCCATCGCTTATCAAGGAGTCAAACTCTTTTTAAGTTTGACTAATTATATAGAAAATAATATTAATATTTATATCTCTAAATAAGTTTAGTGTAAAGGTATATTCCACGTCCGATCTAATAATATTTATTACACATCATAAGTATTAATATTTTTTGATATATTCGGTCAAACTTAGAAAAGTTTGACTCCTTCATAAGTGAGATGTGCACTTATTTTGGGACAGAGGAAGTAGGTGGCAAAAGATGGTGTCTACCTGTGCATTAAGCTAGGGCCCCGTGGCCAACGACCATCTTTGTAAAAAGATATCCAAACAGAACTATTTCTAGAGGTGGCCATATTAAGTGACCACATTTGGAAATGCATTTTACCAAGTGCGGTCGCTTAAGATGACTGCTTCTAGAAAAGCATTTTTAGAGGCTATTGTCGCATCTAGAAATAGAGGTTGTGCATATCAACTAATAACATTTTTATGTCAACTCGGATTGGGACAAACTTCATAACAATATTGTAGAACTCTCAATGCATCTAGCCCCCATTTATGGCTTTGAGTTTTCGATGATTGACGAACACAAGTGCTTGTGACTAACAAGAGTTTTGCAACGGACATATTTACATTATTAGTCACTTGTTAGCCACATGGTTTATTGGTTTTCTTGGCCACAATGATTGTTGTCAAGTATGGAGCAAAGGATATTCATGAAGACTATGGACTCTATAGGGTCAAGTGCAAGCTTGGTGATAGGAGCATTTGACATAGAGTGTATATGGCTTTTTTTCCTTAATTTGGATGTACTATATATATTAAGAAGTGTCTAAGACAAGCATGCAACTTGATGGGAGTTCGAGCTAAGAGCACAATTAATTTAAGTGGTACACTCTCACCAAGTTTGTGCCTTAGTGGCCTCATTGGATTGTTTTAAGTCAAGGATCTCAAAAGAAGTTGATCTGGACAAGATGGGACTTAAAACAAGCTGAAAATATGCACAGAAAGTGCACTTGATAATTGGGGCCAACCAGACATATTATGTGGTGTAACTATGCATTATTTAGTTTCAGATTTGGTCCTAATACCAAGTGGTCACCATATGATCCAATGTGACTTCGTACCTTACGAATCATCCGATGACGCCCAACCTTGACTGTATGTCAAGTGGCCAAGCCACTAATGTTCATCTTATAATCCGGTGGTTACTTCGTGACA